ATCTCCAACATGAGTGCCTTCCTCAAGAGGAAGGCATTGGAGGATGATCTCGACGAGTCAATGATTGCTTTGGAGATCAAAGGAGCAAAAGCCACCAAGCTCTTTGAAGGATCTGACGATGAGGATGACGAACAGGATGAGCCAGATCAACAATGGGATGACAGCGAGTCTGAGGATGAGTCAGATGCACCGAGTCCCAAGAGGTTGAACTCCAAGAAGACGAACAATACCAAACAAAAGACTACACTGCGTGATTGAATAATTGGTGAACATGATATTAATTATTTATTAAACTACTATTTTCTTCAAACATAATGTTATTTAATAGCATACTAAATATAAATTAATGAATACATTTTAAAGTACTTTTTAAATTTACTAAAAGCCCTTTTAATCTTCTCAATATGTCAATTATAAGTCCTTCCAGAAGTGTATCCATTTCCACATGTGTGGTTAGTAATGATGTGAAAGGGGTATTCACTTACACTATTTATTAAATTGGCGCGTTAATATTATTGAATTTGAATATTATTATCAATTGGCGCGATTATAATATTATTCAAATTCAAATTTTAATCATATTGGATCATTCCTCATCGGGTCATACACCCATCCTAGATGGTCCAACAACCCCTTCCAATCTAATTATTTGAGTTTGCAAAATATTTGTGAGTTTTATTGTTGTGGTAGAGCAAAGTTGATCATATGGGTGCTTATTTGACTAGTCATAATAATGTCCATGTTCTTTGTCAGTGTGTGTCTATCCAACTCATGTTGTCCAAAGAGTATTAGCTCTTCATCAGTTGTTGGCCTGTGTACTAATCTCTAAAATTGAAGAATCAAGTTAGTATTATATATTAATTTTTCCAATTAGTATTACTAACATACCAGAGCCTTCTTGATTGAAGATTGTATTCTGGTCCTCAAGGAAGAATAGTCAGATTTAATCTTGTCCATAAGAGCATTGATGTCATATTCTGTTAGTTGATGGGTGGCACCTGGTGCAGTGAGACTCTGTTTCGTTGTGCGTAGAGCACACTTGATTCTTTGTTCCTTAATAGATAAGTCAAGAAGATGGTGTTGAAGAATTTGTTTAAAGAAAGAGTGGAAAAGAGAAACTATTGTTTGATTATTAATAAATACTGGTAGATTTGAGGAATTATATTAATAAGTATTACTTACCTTGAATCACTTCCATTTTATGTTTGTTTTGATAAAGTGCCAACTTATCTTCACAATTCTTGACCGAGGTCTTGATTGTGCCTAGTTCCTTTTTGATGTTTGTAAGTTCTTTCTCTAGTTTCTGATTGTCACTCTGTTGACGAGCAATGTAACCATTGAGAACGTTTAAGAGTATCTCAACGGTAACATGAGAATCGTTTGACCTGACAGCTCTTGGTTCAAGTGGGGGTAAAGTGGAGTTAGGACCCAAAGCTTCTCCTGCTGGAGAACTCTGTGTTTGAGGCAAATTGGGTGGCGGTTGGTCCAATTGATGAGGGATTCTCGTTGATCGTTGTGGTTGTTCCACATCTCTTTGTTGAGTGGCGGACTGGTTCAAATTAGGGAGGAGTACTTGCGGTAATTGTTGCAGTTGCAGTCCTGATTGATTGTGTTGTTGTTGTTGTTGTTGTTGTGGTTGTTGTGGTGGTTGTTGTGGAAAAGGTATATGTTGTCCAAAGTAGTCAAAGGTAGAAGTGGAAGTGGTGGAGGTTGAGCCCTGGGATGCAGGGTAATAAGAAGAAACAAAATTGTTAAAATCTGATGGTCCTTCTTCCATGTTGAAATAATTTAAATATTATTTTTATATATAATTATTAAGTATTTTATATTATGTTTTAATTATTATTATATGTATGAACGGTGGAGATATGTATGAATGGAATATTAATGGTGTAGAGTTAAACAATAAACAATATAAGCAGGTTGTATAAGTTGGCGCCAAGTTTATTGAACTAACACCCTGTTGTGTGTAGCATAAGTACTGAGTGGTGTGTAAGGTGCTGAAGTTGATTAACCACCACAGCCCTGCCTTGATCTCTCATTTAGATCATAGTGCAGGTCACAGTGATATCCTTACTCGCCAACAGTACTTGAGGGAAGTTGCAGTCATTTTGAACGTGCTAGCAATTGCCACTGGCCTCCACCAAGAGCTTGGTGTCACGGGCTCATCGGGCACACATCTTCTTATGCAAGGCCACAACGCACTCACCATCATGATAGTTGAAGTGCTCTGTTAACATTGGTTGCGTACGCAATGGAGCGTTCTGCTGAAGAGATATCTGATGTCCCACTATATATGGATTGATTGAATGAATGAGTACATAGGGCAGTTTGGAAGTCATTTGAACATGAATACACTGTACTCTCCACAATTGCATTGGGCTTTAATTAAGAACTTGGTGTCAGTCTGGCAAATCATCGAACATTGACAAGATCATGATCTGATCGAGGAGTCCTGGACCTGATGATGTGACCGCTGTTGATTTCGTTGTACTAGTTTGTCTGACTTTCACGGTAGTGCCTTGCAGTGTTTGAGACCGAGTTCGGATATCCGACTAACCGAGACCGAATAAACCGAACCGGACCCTTTTACCAATCCGAAGGAAGTTCAATTATTCGAACTGACCAGCTGTTTTTTTAATCAAAACCGGATCGAATAACCGAGGGTGAGACAATGCATTTTCACTCTAGTGAACAACACAAGTCTCATTCATTTCTTTGAAACTTAAAATAATAGTATTGATAGAAATGACCAAATGGCTTCCTTTGGACATCTTCGTGATCCTAATGATTATCAACCACAGACAGGCATTGTTAGTAGTGGACTAGTCTTGGTTGGTTCAATATCATGTTTCCATCCAATACTGTACTTCTTTGTAGTCTCTGTTGAAGTTGATGATGTCACCTTGGTGGATGTTGTTGTTGTCTGGGTTGAAGCAGGATGATGAAACAATCAGTTGCAGGATACATGAAGCTCTAATTGGAGACGAGATATCGAGGAAAACAAAAGCCTTTTCGATGAATCAGATCAAAAAATAACATTTTTGTCTTACAGAGTGTACATACTGTACGTATTCATGAGCATTGTAGTACCGGTTAATCGGTTTTCCGGTCGAATATCGGTTAAAGGCGATATTCGGGTAACCGAGCTCGTTTACAATCTTGGATCATCCACACGACCGAGTAAGGAATTATTCGAACCGAATGATATTGATATCTCGTTTATTTGAACCGAGTAGTATAATATGCTCGGTCTCAAACACTGGTGCCTTGGTAAACGTTCGATGTTAGAGTTGACGTCGACACAATACATGTATTGATATGATGCTATGGTACCAGCGGAAACATCCAGATGGTCCGTTCGGTTGTTACTGTTGTGGTCAACGTACTGCTAATTACAATATCAAAGTAACGTTCTTCTGCTCGTTTGGGATTGTTTGTGATTGATCGAGTTTGTTAGTTCGTGGTTAAACTGTTATCAGCATGTCAAGTCTTCATCAACATGTTGTTCGAGCCAATCAAACTATCAACAGAGCTACTTACCACCATTCATTGCACCCTTTTATGACTCGTATCATGTGTTAACAGAATATTATTCCAGGTAGTCTCTTAGAGCTTGGAGTTGTCGTGCTTGTTGTGGTAGCCACCTCTGGTCGTGGTCGCCGACCACTGTCGGTGATATCACAGATATCATTCAGCCGTTGGAATTTTGTCGACAATGTTGTTGATCTTTCTTCCTCCTTCACTGTTATCTGTTGCTGTTGTTTGTTGTTTGTTGTTTGTTGTTTGTTGTTGTTGTTGTTGTACTGTGCGTGTATTGTACATCACTGCATTTATATGTAACAGAGATATATCGGTGTATTGGTCATTGTTGTTGGAGAAACAGGATCAACTGCTCTGTATTCGGTGTATGCACGTCCGACATGTGGTACGCTACGATGTCCAACATCATTGAAATGTCTTTGAGTCAATGATTGGGACGGAGTGAGTGAATGATTGATTGAGTCCAAGGCATATATGCTATTGAATGAATACATATGTGAGATTGAAAGAGATAGTATTTGTTGATTGTACAGTATGTTTCATAAGTTATGGCCACCCCCTGTTCAAACAGGTACGAGTTTGATATCTCCTACAAATATGGTTCAAGATTCTTATTCACTTCCAAATATAGTAGTCCACTTTTGCTCAAAAATTTCCATTTATGAATATTTTTCCAAAAATGGAATTAATATATCTTTATCATTCAAACGATATTTTTGTTAAAGTAATGAACATGTCCATTATTTATGCAATAGTAAAGAATGAATGAGTTCAAACATCAAACACTTTGTTGGAAGAGATAGAATATTATTTATGTACATTACAATTAATCATGTCATTAACAGAAGAAGAGAGAGCTAAAATCGTGAGAGCCAGAAGGAGAGGATATTCAAAGAAATTAATATCAAAGATGTACAATATTTCCCGATCAACTGTGAGCAGGACTATTCAACGACACAGCGAGCGAGGAGACTTCAAGGACCGTCTCAAATCGGGACGCCCTTCAAAGTTTTCAAGAAGACTTAGAAGGAGGATCATCAAAGCTTTGGTCAGGAAGGAGGTCATCACTTTGGACGAGTTGAAAGCCAAACTTGAAGTGAGATACGATACAGAGATATCAACGGCTCAAATATCTCGTATCGCTGCAAAGGAAGGTCTCACCTATCGCAGTTTAAGCAGGAAGCACGATCTAAAGCAAGTAAACGCAGATCAAAGGCTCGAGTTCGCTATAGGAAGAWCACATTGCCATCATACTATCCACATCGTGCGACCTTTTCAATAGACATCGTGACACGACTCCCTTGGCGGCAATC